TTTTTTTTTTTTTTTTTACATTTGTTGGTGAATGCATGTTGTATAAAATGTTGCTATAAAATTTTTCACAGATTTATAGTGTGTCCATAATATTGATGTGGTAGTTGAGCTGGATAAGAATCACATCAAAGAAAAATAACCAAGGTTTAGAAGTAGAGGATTGGAGTGGCTTAGACAATCATAAGGTCTTTTGGCTGCCTTTACGATGCAGCTGAAAAACATGAAATTTGCTGGAGTTTATGTGTGAATTCATCAGGACAAAACACTAGATGTCAGTGTTGTAGTTTTGACATTTTACCAGGAGCTGGTAAAGACTTCTGCTTTTAATCACCCAGATTTTCATTGACAGCAAACTTTGAAGCTATTGTGCCTCTTTACATTTAGATAAATGCTTCCTAGAAATAGCACTTTTCAAAGAATTATTTGCTGTTTTGTATCTATGCAGCACGCTGACTCTGAGGAATAAATCATATGTAATATTAACATTTATTTTTCAACTAAGTTTCCCAACTTTGTTTCTCAATGTACTTTCCAGGGAACACTGGTCCTAGTTGATGCTTCTGGGGGAGAACTGTGTACCTCTGGCATCTGGCAATAGCAGACACTGAAATTGTTGAATTGAAAGGTAGTGCTGTCAGCTTTTGTTTGGCAAAGTTTAGAATCTTTATTTTACATTAATACAAATTTTACAGTTCTTATATCACATATTTGCACATCAAAGCCTAGAGTCACATATCCTCAGCTTTCTTAAATTTACCCAGTATAGCATGCAAGATAAAGAGAAGGCCTCAAATTAAATATATGACAAAAAAGTTTCTATTTAAAAGATTTTTTGTCCTTATTAAGAAATATGCAGCACATTAGGGCATTTAGAACTATTAATGATTTATCATTTTATTTCATTTCTTTTGATATTGACACTTTGTTTTAAAATCATGATTTTTAAAAATGCAAAATAATACTTTACATTCCCTTTTAAGTGTTATGCAATATTCTGTTAATTTTTTGAAGATACTTGTGAAAAATGTTTTTTGTATGTTTTAATTCGCTGTTTTTGAATATGTTTTACATTTTTATCTGAAATGAATTAAATATTTAGTATTACACCCTTTTCATTTCATGAATTCTCTGCGCTTCAAAAATAAAGGTCTTATGCAAAAGTAATACCAGAATTGCAAGTACTATAATGACTAGCTAAAAGATCTTTCCAGCAGTTCTCTCTTAATGCATGGCTGAAAATCAAGAGGTAAGAGAGGACCCTCAGAAGTTAAGAGCTGACTATAATGTAATGTTCACTTCCTCTTACTTTGGTCATGGCAATAAGCTGATTTTTAAAAAAAGGTTGACAGTGTATCCAAAAGCAAAATATGCACATTTTGTTGAAATAATTTAGAAGAAGAAATGGATTGGAGTTGAGGAATAGAAAGATAACTGAAGTAACAATCGGTGGACTGCTTCGGGCTAGAAGCAGAGGTCCGGCTTACAATGCTCCGCTTTGGGAAGGGGAAGTGGGCCCAGAGCAGGCTCCCTGAAGCGCCGTACCTCGGGGCTGTGCGTTGCTTTCTGTCCTGTATGTGTAAATGAAATTTCTGATCTGGATGGGGGGACATCAGAATTGGATTAAGTAGGGAGCAGCAGGAAAACTTTATGCGTAGGGCCTTTTTCCTTCTTTTAGTGTTACTTTAGATAGTGTTTTATCTTAATGCAAGTAAGTCAGTATGTAAAATTTTTCTTAAATAATTAAATTGTTAATTTAGGAGAGATGTTTTGAGAAAAACAAGGTTGATATGATGAAATTGAAAGTAATAGCATTTTTTGTATTAATCTTTGAGACAACTAGTTCTGGAGTTGGCCCCATGTCAGCATCTGTCACCATCTTGACAACAGGATGCGGTAGGGGCTGCTGGATTTGTTTCTGCTGCCTGGGTCCTGAATCCCCTTGCAACTCCGCCATCAACAACACTGGGCCACATCTTTGGGGGCTGATAGTAGGATAGAGGGTCCCCCTGCTGTCCACTGTTACTGCAGGTGTGGGACTCGGAAAAGTCCCCTCTTCAAGAATGGACAGGTGGAGAACTGTAGGTAGGCTTTATGAAGGGTCGGGGGTCTGGCTGTGGCCTTGGCAATCTCTGCCTCAAGTATTAAAGTTTAATTTATTTGTACTCTTAGCTCCTGTAAGATGCTGTGGATCAGAAGAGGATCACTTTTCTTCTTCTGATGAAGCAGTAGAAGCTGACAATGAAGATGAAAATGCTGCAGGAGCTGCTGTTGGGACTAACGTGGGCTGGGCAGATGCCATGGCTAAAGTCCTTAGCAAGAAAACCCCCAAAAGTAAATCTACTATTCTGGTCAAGAACAAAGAGCTGGAAAAGGAAAAAGAAAAGCTAAAGCAAGAAAGGCTAGAGAAAAGAAAGCAGGTTTGTCCTACCAGATCTTTTGTAGACTAGATTGTCTAGTCGAGTTCTTATCAGTACCAAATTGTTCCTTGCAGTGTTTGTCCAAGTAACATTCCAGTTTTTAACTCACTTTTTAAATAGGGATGGATAACCAAGGTTATCTTCAGAAACCTAAATTACTCCATTGAGCATGTTCACTTTTTAATCATCTGAGCAAAGAAATAGAAACACAAACTCCAATGAAATACGTGCTTTTGAAAATAAGTAATTGTACATGTGCAATGACTCCAGGGTCTTAAACATTTTTATTCAATTTCACTGTGCATATGCTAACTTCTTTAGGTTTTGAACTAGTACAGTCATGTTAGTTTTTGCTAAAAACCTATTTTGTAATATAAATCTGTGAAAGTGTCATTGTTGGATTGGTTGCAGTTCTGAAAACCGACTCTGTCACTGCTAGATAAACTTGAATTTATTATATATGTATCAAACTACTGATGATGGAGATTAGACTGTTACAGCTACTAATTAAAGGCCAAAAATTCCACTTAAGTGTGCTGTTGTGTATCATAAAGACAAATGATCATAGGTTTTTATATCCCTTATACTGGATGAAGTATTTCTGTGTCTAAAATATTTGATTACTGAAATAACTGTTATTTGTTAACGAAAGAAAAATAACTGTCTATAATTGTACAGACAATATTAAAGTACGAATTTCTAAGAGATACTTCATTAAGTAAAAATGAAAGAAAAATAGATTTGAATTGGCATGTATTTCCTTTTTAGGTCATCATCGCCTTATCATGTTTCAAGATGAATGTTTTCTTTGTTCCTAATACAGGTTGCTCTTTGTGAAAGGTTATATAAAGGTGGAACTTGTCAAGCAATGCTTTGGAAATAGAACATACTCTGTTATTAATTCACTATTCTCGTACTTTAAGATAAATTTTGTCTCTAAATCTTACTGACAGCTTTTCAACTGAAAATTTGAATCTTTATTTATTATTTGGCAAAAGCTAGACGAGGCTTTAAAAATACCAGAACCCTTAATTACCTCTAGTCCCAATGTTCCACTGAGAGTAAGAACAGTATTTTGAAGCCAAGAGAAATGAGATGAGTCTCTCTCTCTGCTCTAGGCCAAAGCTTTGAGTGCTGAAAGTGATACTGTTCACATGATGCATAAAAGCACATGTGTCAATCCCAGAAACATAACAGAGCCGCTACAAATGCTCTTAATGTGTATTTCTAATTAGAGTCTTTGTAAATTATTGTTGTTTCTCAATGTTAAATATTATCAATTTCCAGGATCTTCAGTGCTTATTTCTAATCATAAGTATAAAAACACATTTGAAAGTTAAAAAGTATTTGGGGATTATGCATACCAATTATCCCTTGGCTACTATAGATAATTAAGAATTGACTATTTTAAACTTAAAAGTAAGTTTTTTAAATTTCTGTCATAATCTGATAGTGAATTTCATGACCGTTAAAATGAATTATCTGATTTGGGAAAAATCTATTCCTTTAAAAAGGAATCAGGCTAATCTTTATAGTAAGAGCAGGAATTTGGTTTTACTACATTTTTATTAATACAAAATGAGAGATTAGATGAATGGAGAAAAGGAAGAGATGAAAGATTTTTTTTTCCACTGGTTCTTGCTGGTATTGATTCTCACCATCTTCTTGGGGCTTAGTTTGTCATATTTAGCATATTTGATATTTGATGATATAGAGGACTGAGAAGAGGACCTGGAGAAGCAAGGTGTCAAATCAGCTGCCTGGTACCGGGATACGGCTTTGAGGCAGCTCTGAATCAGATCATGTTGTCTATGGGATTTTCTTACTTCCTGGCTCCCCTTCTCCTTCTGCATTTCTCTGCGGTAGGAGTCGGTCTGCTGTGCTTTGTGACTGATACGCCATACGTGGCCAGCATGTTGGTTGGTCAGATGTGCTCAGAGAGAAATGGATTTAAATGATTTTGTGAAAAGTAGTCACTGTGTAAGTGGGCTACATCTGGTATGATGCTTTTAAAAAAAAAAAAAGCTAATAAAAATTCTTAATAAGTCTGACTGCTGAGGAAGTCCATTCCTTAAAATAAAGAGAAACAGTGTTTAGCTTGTGATTACCAAAGAGTGTAGTTTGTAGTCTCCCTGATGCTTACCTGTGATGATGGCAGAATCAGGCATGTGGCCCCCTCACGCCCCACCTCGTCATGCTGGCGGCTCTCCAGGCCTCTGCTGTCGGAGAGGCTGATGGAAACTCACTTGTGCCTCTCACATGACATGCTGAGTGCTAACCACAGGTTCCCTGAACTGAACCCCTAAAAGTGTGGGGGTTTTTTTAAGTCTCTATAACAGACTAAGCCAGAATGATTTATTACCTTTGTCCTTTCACAGAGTAACATATCAAAGTGTGCTGCATTTTCAAAAATGCCTAATACTCTCTCACATAACGTTATTTATAACACAGCGTGATAAGAAGCGAGAATGGGAAATGATGTGCAGAGTAAAGCCAGATGTTGTCAAAGACAAAGAAACAGAGAGGAATCTTCAGAGAATTGCAACAAGGTAAGACAGTGTTTTGCCCTTTAAAATGTTAGTATGCTGAAGCTTTGATAGTGATCCATTTCTGACTAGATTTGATTGTTAAGCTGTGCCTTCTCAGAGCTAAGTGATTTATATTTACTATATCTAAGCTTGTCTATTTGATACCAAATCCAACCAAAGATTCTACAGGTCTCATGAGGCAAGAATATAATATACTAAGTGTATTTTTGGTATGTGTCTACTTCAGAGCATCTTGTTTTTATAGTCATGAGAAGAGTTTAATCAGACCTCTTAACTCTTAGGACGGTTGTCTAAATTTATGACACCAGATGATTATTTTTGTTGTGTTATATTTATGGCATAACAAAGTACACATTTTAGTAGTTCCATCTTATCCTTTCACTCTGCATTTTTTATTATTGGCACCAAACATTTGATGTCCTCTGTTCAAAGATAAATACAGTACGGTGGTGGCTAGGTTGTTCTTTCCTGTTCATTTGTAGGAATTACAGTATCTTTGAGAATAGAGGCATGTCCTATGTGTTGGGAACATAAACCAGGAGACTGGGGGAGTTAGGGAAGTCTTCACAGAGGACATAACATTTGGGCTACTACTTAAAGAATATAGCAATTATATTCAGTGTAATTACTTTTAATTTCCTTGGTTACCTACATTATTTTGGTCATTTTCTACTCCATCTGGGTGTTGTATAGTGAGTATGACGACTAAGAGTGTGAGCGCTAGAGCCAGGCTGGTAGGACCAAAAATCCCAGCACTGACTTAGTAGCTGTGTGACCTTGGGCATGCTACTTAATTTTTGTCTCAGTTTATTCATAAAAACAGGAGAGTATTACATCTACTAAATTGGATTTCTCTGAGAATTAGATTAATTAATACGTAGAAAGAACTTAGGGAAGTACAGGGTTGGTCCTTGAGAGTAGGTGCCTCCTGAAATTTTATACCCTAGCCCCAGCCCTGCTCTGAAAGGTATGGAATTTTATCCTCCCTATAAGCAAATAATAGCCTGTTAAAGTTTCTTGGATGCTAGCAGAAGACAAGAAACTTCTGGGTCAGAGTCAAAGGACGTTGTTACTCATGGCAAAAACTGTAGCTAGAGCTTCACGTTCCCACTGGTTTCCTTTGTTCGTCAGGGCAACACAGGTGCCCTAGGTGGATGTCTGCACGTGCAGTGGCTGCGTTACAGGAGGGGAACACTGAGCTCGGGAATCAGTTGCTTTTATGGGGAATGGTAACAAGCATGCTCTTTGTCTGGGGGGAGACGTTACCTCACCCCTTAAGGTTTCATAGTGCAAACACAACCCTGCAAAATGGCCTGGGTAAGAGCATTGCATTCTTGAAAAATCCAATAAGAATGTGCAGGGATACTCAGGACCCATGGCGGATTGCTACTCCCGGTGATTATTATAATAGGAAGATTAATAGGTTGTAAAGTTTGAGAGCTGAAAGGGATGTTAATGGTCTAGGTGCTGTCCAGTAGAGGTGTAATGTGAACAACATAGGTAATTAAAAATTTTCTTGGAGCCACACTAAAAAAAATAAAGAGGTGAAATTAATTTCAATACATTTAACCCAGTATATTCTAATCATTGTTTCAACATGTAATCCGTATTAAAATAATTTTAATGAGATCTTAAAATTCTCTCTTTCATACTGAGTCTTCAAAATGCAATGTGTATTTCAAACTTGGAGCACATTGCAGCTCAGACTAGCTGTATTTCATATGCTCACAAGCTGTGTCTGGCATGTGGCTGCTATAATGGACACCATAGGTTCAGAAATCATCTTTGAATGAAGTAGAGATCAAAGTATTTTAAATGACTAATTTTTTAAAAAAATAGGCTTTTAAATAAGAGTTGCAGATAATAATATGGCTGGATACTTTTTAAGCTACTAGAGTAATATTTTTCCCATTTCAGATGAAACTGAGATCCAGAAACTTCCCTAGAGTCTTCCCTAGATGGCTAGCTAACTGTAAAGGCTGTGCTCGATCCATTATACTCTAGTGCCTTCAACCACTGTGTAATTGTATTTTGAGAAATAGATGTTTGTGTTAAAAGTAATTCTTCTAATTGCACAGAAGATTTAGATGAAGGACCAAAAATAATCACATAATAATCCATTATTCTCTAGTCAGATATTTCTATTCATTCATTGAAATGTGTGTTCAGTTTTCAGTCATATCTGACCATTCATTCAGTTCTTTTCATTTGAGGGCCTGTTGAATTCCTGTCTCTTTTCTGAACAGTAAAAATACGTTGTTCCCATCTTCAGAGTCCTCTAGTGTAACTATTATCTAAATACCTTGGTTATTTGCTATTCCGCAGGGGTGTCGTGCAGTTATTTAATGCTGTTCAGAAGCATCAGAAGAATGTTGATGAAAAGGTTAAGGAGGCTGGAGGCTCTATTAGAAAGCGTGCTAAGTTGGTATCAACTGTTTCCAAGAAAGATTTCATCAGTGTCCTGAGAGGGATGGATGGAAGTACAAATGAGAAAAGTTCAACAGGAAAGAATTCAAAAGCCAAACAGGTAAGACTTATATAGGATTCAGTATATCAAACTTTTTTAGCTCTTAAACAAGAGTTTTGGGGTGAAAAAGCACACTACAGAATTATAGTTCTTTTAGATATATAAAATCTTTATATGTTCACAGTCTGATATAGAAGCTTGGATTCTTAAGTTTCAGGCTAAATTTATTCAGTATGGAAGTTGTCAAACACAGATGTCACACCCCTGCTGTTAGAACTCAGGATCCAGTAGATTCCGCTAAATGTTTTAGAGAGAACCATATCTCTTGTCTGAAATCCTGCCTTTTGTGCCATTTGGAGAATGGAATCCTAAGTGAGGGTTATAGTGTCAGTTTGAGACTTTTACCCACAGAAGTACCTGTGATGGTGTGTAACTCCTAAAATGTGAACAGTCAGAGCTCTGGGAAGTAATGGTGGAAAGTCATCCTCGTGCTCAGGCGGCTTGGTGGTGATTGACTGGTTGGAAGATGGAGACCGTGAATACGTCTCATGGTTTTGCGCATGGTGACTTTGCTTCTGCAGCTCTTTTGACCTGCAGACTCCAGTAGTTTCTCTTTTAATGAAAGGTTGTGAAATGTGCTTTCATCTCAAAAGAGCTGTTTTTTTGTTTTTTGTTTCTTAGTTAAAGTAAAATCATACTTGTATTTGATGGCTTCATTTATTTTGCCAACAAAAAGTACTTCAATCAGGAAATGAGCATTTCTGTCATAAGGTTTTCGTCTGTGTTTTGGGAAAACTATTGAAATGCTGGCAAGAAGAGCGTTTAAGAATTTCATGCTAGCCTAAGTTTGAAGTATTTTTCAAGTTCCTTGATTAGGTTGCCCTTTTACCTAATTTTAATAAAAGTTGCTAGGCGATTTAACTTTGTCTCCTGAACAGTAAGGGACCCAAATTGTATATTTATATAATGATGAAGCACACTGGTGTTGCTCTTTTCAAGTGTTTGTCGGAAGTAAACACACGGATACTGTGTTTGGGAACTTACCTTGTAGGAAAGTCTAACAGCCTGTGTTCTCACTAGTGACGTTTTACTGTTATGAGTTGGAGGAAGATCAGCACAGCATCGGATGAAAAAGAACTAGTGGGAAGAGGAAAAGGAGACTTGTTTTTGTTTTTGTTTTTTTTCTTTTTCTGTTTGGTTTCAAAATAACTTAACAGGAGCATTTATTTTTGCTTTTTTTCATAAGTTTTGAAAGCATGAAGGGTTCTTTGCAATGGCATCATTACATTTTCTTTTTTATGCTTTGGCCCTTAACGTTCTTTTTTTCTGTTTCAGTGGTAACAGGTATAGTATTAATCTGGGACAAGGTCAAAAACAACTTGAGATTCAAACCAAAGTGGCTTTGCTGTAAAAATAATCTGTAGAACAACCTTCCGCACACCAGCAACACCCTGGCACATGTTTTTCTTTTTCATGTTTGTTTTCATTTTGGTTTCATATTATGGAAAAACAACCAACCAGAATCATTTTTGTTTTATTGTGCTTGATTTTACATTTGAACAACTATAGTGAAGTATTACAATGTTTATGATTGGGTTAGTTATTAGTATCAAAATATTTATTTGGGTACTTATTGAACCAGGTGCTATCCTTGTATGTTTTAAATCTTACAATTCAAATAGACAAATGCATTATAAATTAGTACATCCAAACAAATGTTATGAACAGTTACATTGGGTACAATAAAAGGTAAGTTAAGTGGCTATCCCTGTGTGTGGGGAGAATCTCAAAGTAACTGTGATAATAGTTATTTAGGACAGTGGATAGTAAATCTACATAAGTTACTTGAAATATGTGTATTTTTAAGGCATTTGAAGAGAAGAAGGAAGGCAAAAGTGGAAATAGATTTGGTGTGCCAGAGCACTGTTTCAAAAATGGGTCACAGATTTAACTGGATAGAGGAGGATATTAAGTAGAGAATAAGATTTTCCTTTTTTCTCATTTTGTCTTGTCCTAGTACTGTTGCTGATGTACCTTTTTCTAATAGATACTCCTTTCTTCTCACACAGTCTGATAGAAGAGCTTTTTTGGAAGTAGCTCATTGTCCCTTCTCTGGACATAATGTGTTCAGAGCATAGGCTTTTTGTCCCATCTTCTTAGTATCGCAAAACCTTTAAAATTGAAGTTCACCCACATATAAACTGGATTCACTGGCAGCTATCAGGATATCTATCTAGAAATACCTTAATTATGCCTTGAGCTCTTTTATCCAGTTATACTGTTACTCATAACAGTTGTGCCATTAAAGTCATATGTTCAAAAACAAAAAAGAGCCAGCAATTTGTATTAAGCAATACTAGATAGAGTTGTAATAATATAGCATAGAGGTTGGATCCATTACAGTGAACACAATGGGAGGAGTGCTTTTGGTGGTATGTGGGTTTTTGGGGTTTTTTTTGACTCCTTAAAAACACTTATGGCTCAGGATTTACTTTTTTTAAGAACTTTTTTTCAAAAATGTCCATACTCCTTCAAGACACGAGAAACTTTGAGACATTGTGACAAATGTTTTTTAACTGCATTGTAGCCCTGAGCAAGTCACATTTTTCAGAACCATTTCTTTTATCTTGCATTAATATTTTAAAATTTTATTTTAAAGCAATAGTAGCACAGTTTCCAAAGTGAACTCATGACTAAATAAAATAACTAAAATAACCATTGCTCTTCTCCATCTCTCTTTACCCCTTATTTTGCTCCCTATCCCCAAAGTAACCATTTCCAGTTTTTCTTCTAGTATATACTTCATCTTAAGTAATATTTGCACTATTTCTTTATCAATATCAGATATTATGTTTTATGGAAGATAAAAAATTGACATTCTTCCTTTCACTGCCACACCCTACACATTGTCCTTCCAATAAGGTATATTAATGCTTTTGGCTAAATCAGCATTTAAGGTAAATGTTCACTGCTGAGCAAAGTAATGTATGATACTATTTTCTTTTTTTTT